ACACACACAGAGACACTCACACATACACACACACACACACACACACACACACACACACACACAGAGAGACACACTCACACACACAGAGAGACACATTCACACACACAGACAGACACACACACACAGACAGACACACACACACACACAGACAGACACACGAGTCACACTGACGGTCATCACTCTCCCAGAATCCTCTCTGTTATTATAACATGTTCATTCGGTGTCAACTCAACCAGACGTTTCCAGCTAAACGTTTCGTTTTTTATCTTTTTCTAGTGAATGAAATGCATAAATGAAGCAGAAAGACAAAATATTAAATGGCATGGATATATATCCACTATTTTGTAGAGAGGCGTCAAAATGAGAATTTCCACGTCAGATCTGGAAGAGAAAATGACTTCAGAAAGATGGCAGGATAAAGATGTTATTTTTACACAGATCGGCAGCTCTATCAGTAAAATCTGTTGACTTCAGCAGTCTTTTTTGCATTATATGCCCATGGTTACCATTCAAAAATGACAAAAAGCAGGTTTTTCCCAAAGCAAGTCAATAAATATTAAATAATTCTTAATATCCCATTAGATTCTGGTTGTTAGCAAACTTTTGTTTTGGTTTGTTCGTTTTTAAGGCCAACATGGTTCAGTTCCAGAGAGACTGGAAGCAATGTTAAAACTATCAAAACAATTGCACTGAACACACCTGTCTGAGTGCCAACAATATTCTTTTTCCAAAGTTTGTGTGCCTGAAACTCAAGACGTATTAAAAATATCTCAGCATGATATTAGATTCTGGTTCTTAACAACCTTTTCTTTTGTAATTGTCATTTTTAAGGCCCTGTATGTTTCAGTGCCACAGATATTGGGGTCTCAGTGGCTCCATGTGCAGATTGATTCATTTAGCCCATTTTTGATGGTCAACAAGCAAATGTGGTCACTTTGCATGCAGATGGTACTAATTGTATTTTTGGCACTGAATGCAAAGTGACCCACATTCGGTTTCAGTTCAACAATCTGCACCAATATCTCTGGAGCTGAATTCTATAGGGCCTTAAAAATGAACAAACCTAAAGAAATGTTTAGGAACTAACATCTAAAAGTATATTAAGATCATCTTTAATATTTCTCGAGTTACAGACATGGGGAAAAAAAGAGTTTTTGGAAGGCTTTGGGGAAAAAAAAAAAACTTGAAAAGTTTCAGTATTGGTTTATGAAATCATCTTTCCAGAGTAAGCTCTAAATCTCAGGTGATAATTGTTGTTTTTACCCCTCTCCACAAAATACGTAAATACTCATCCACAGCGTTTTAAATAAAAAAATGTAGCCGAGGAAGTTTCTGAATTGTGGTTGACTCGTCTGATATACAGTACACATATGATGACTATATACTGAATATAATACTATATACAGTGGAGAGGTGAAGCACATGAATCGATTGATTCTCTAGTGGCCCATATGGAAAGGATTTCAAACTCATAACCACAAATGCTGTTGTTTAGTTGGGGATTTAGAAGAAACGTGGATCGTCCTTTTCCATACGAGCGTCTCTGCCACACCTGATGATGATGAGGATGATGAAGCTCTGTTCAGTTCTCTGAATTACCTGAAGGGCTCTGGCCTGCACTGTCTTTTTTAACATCTGAACATCTTCTATAAAGGGACCATCAGTCTCCATTTCTACAGGACTGTTTAGTCCAGACGGATCAACACACAAAACGTACTAGTGGAAAAGAAAATAACAGAGAGTCATCAGCAGCGGCGGAAGAAACAGAGTGAAGCAGATGGACGTCAGCAGAAACGTCACTTCAGAGCGTGAATCAGGTCATGTGACTGACAGGAAGTGGAGATTCGGTTCGAGAGAAACTCACCTGCGGGTTTGACTTGGCCAGACTCTCGATCTTCATCCAGGCCTCCTCTCTCTCCTTCAGCTTGGCCTTCTCTCTGGAAGCAGAAGCGTCAGTGTTTTCGTCTCACGTGAAACGACGGCTGTGTTTGTGTCTCAACTCACTTGTTCTTCTCGGCTCTGAACTGTTGTGTGCAGTCGTCAAACAGCTTCTGGTTCATCTCCATGAAGAGCTTCAGTGCGTTATAGATCAAGCCGTGAATGGTCCTGCAGTCATGTCACGAACACAGAGAAGAGAGATGAAGAGTCATGCATTCAGACAGAACAAAACATCGTTTAGTATGTTTATGCTAGCGAGTAAAGCGTGACGCTGGATCCAAACGGCATCAGACACAAGTCTTACTTGTTCCAGTGGCTCTTGGAGTTGCGGTAAAGCGCGGGGAACATGATGGGTAAGATCTTGGCTGCGTTGTCGCTGATGAGACTCATGATGTACTCGTTATTCCAGTAATAAAGCGCTCTCTCTGCCACCTGTCAGAAGCACACATCACGTCGAATTTATTTCTATAGCGCTTTTCTCAACACTTAATTTTTGTAATCTGATTACACAATCCAGCCGTACATGCTGCTCTTACAGCAGCTGTGTTAGAGATGGGCTTCTGGCTTGTCAGCATGCATCATACAGTTTGTATATTTTTCCACAAGAATCTCAGCTCTGTTCTCTCCCCTACAATATTCTACATTAATTTTATTCACACATTTCTTGATTACAGTGTGTTTTTATTAAGTGTTTGCATGTCCAGAATTGCTTGCTGGTTCTGTTCGTTGTTGGACGAGGAACTAAATAAAACATTTCAGTACTTTACATCGCATGCATGTAATACGCAGGAGACAAAGAAGGAACCGTGAAGCCTTAGAAGCCCTGACTGACATCTAAAACAGACTAACATCGGTCTTCTCCGCTTGGCTCACCTGGAAGTGAGGACTGGACACACACTTGGCCAGCTGACAGAAGAGCGGCTCCATGACCTTCACGAACTCGGACGGCTCGATCACGTCCAGGATCTCCTCCAGCTCGTTGAGGAACATCACCTCCTTCGGACTGTGAGTCTTGGGCCAGTACTTGAGAAGAGCCACGACCACCTGCACACCGCCAGCAAAGCCTCATGGGTCGCATCAATCCCATAATGCATTAAATGCTGTCTGAGAGTCTGACGTCTTACCGGTTCAGTGAGCGTGCTGTCCTTCTCCAGGAACTGAACCACACAATACGCCAGCTGGAGCGAGACGAGACGCGGTTAGTGACGCTCGTCAGTGTGAGTTAACGATGTTTAATGAGCTTAGCGTGTGACTGACCTGCGGGTGATAGACGCTCAGAGACTTCACTTTATGCAGCGGCAGCAAAACCTTCAGCAG